TTTATCGGTGCATTTACTACCCAGTTGAGAAATTCACGGGGTACCATTTCCACCGTGGCGTCTTGCAGTACACCTGCAGAAGCGTAAACAGTGAGGTTTATTTCCCAGTCACACATAAACATATCCCCCCCCCCAAAAAAAAAAAAAATAAAAAAATAAAATAAAATAAAAAAAAATATCATAGTTGAACACTCATCGTGAACTAGGAACTCATCGTGAACTAGGACAGCATGTTTCGAAAACGACAAAAAAAAAACCGCAAAAAAACTAAGTACGAGTGGACCAGTAACCGCATATGACATCAATGCAGCCATATTAGAAATATGACGTTATGTCTAGTTTCAAAGTCCGTCAATATGCCAAGGACCAAGTCCACCGAGTTTTATGAAATGAAAATGAAATGTGGTTTAATTTCCTACTATTCTGCTGCTACTATTTTATGTCGATAATACTGGAATTGGCGGAACTTTAGACTTTGATTCCATTCTCTCAATGTAGAATATGTTTATTTATTCAGTCAAAATTTCTTTTTAAGATTTGGTATATTTGATTCACAGTTTATCTTAGCTCTTTAATTGTTTTAAAACTATTAAATTTCACATTTTTACAGATCATGGGTGAAAATTTAAAATGCGATCTTTAGCTCAAGGTATTGTTACATTAATTTACAAAGATGTTGTGCGTTCTGGTTTGATCCAACAATCACATATTTTAATCAGTGACGATTGATTAGTTGCAATGACATACATAACCTACTTTGAAATGCAAATAGAAAACATCGAGTGTTTAAGAATCAAATGAATATGGTTAAAATGAATATAAAGAACACAGTTCTTATGTTTGTTAAACTGAGCAAATTAAAGATATGATGAGATTGGGCGGTCAGTGTTTTCTGACATCTAGATTTGAAATCAAGGCCAGTGATATCAAGATACCGGACAGGTAGCGTGATGCCAATATACGGCCATATTAAACTATGGGCATTTAAAAACAGAATCTGACAAAAGTAACTCACATAGTTACTCCAGAAAGAACTAACGAATGAGAGGAACACTAAGGAATGTAGACAGGGGTATTGATTCCGCTCATCCTGCACACTTTCATGAACTTCAAATTGAACAATTTAGAAGACAATCAAAATTCTTAAGATAAGTTTCTTCTGAAAGTCAATTATTACATAAGGGTTTTCAATTTGTTGCTAGGCGAAATTAAAACAAATGATGGAAAATATCAATTAAACACTCATCTTCTTCTTGTTTCAAAATTTAAAGTTTATAGAACAGTCGTTGAAAGAAAATTCGCAAGATGAAGACGAATATTTATATCATATTTGCTTACGTAAGTTTCTGTGTTACCATATTTTTATTTAACCGTATATGAATATATGAATTTTTTTTATATAATATAGGAAAATTTGGGAGTATTATATGCATACGATGTAGAGTAGTTGTATGTCTTGTATTAAAATGCATTTTATGAACCTCATCAATATGTAGCACTATGGGTCTTTTGTCAAACATGGAGAGCGGATGACATGCTAAAACCGGTCCCCACCTCCGGCTATGACCCAAGCATCTGTTCTTACTACATATCTTAGTAGCCGTTTGATCGTCTGGTATTTTCACTTGTCGTTTCTGCCCCCCCCCCCTTCACGTTGTGTATCTACTTCTTTCTGTTTCTCAGTTAGTTAAGACGTTTGTCTTCTCAGTAGCTATAACCATGCAACAGTTCGTTTTTACATTTTATATATCAAGCTGCTTACATATGAAACAATGCGTAATAGAATAAAGTCATTCTCTCAATCCCAATCCAGCCAGACTCGGCGGGGCGAGTCTGCTGATAGAAATTGCTACATCTTTTCCCTTCTAGAATCAAGCTGCTGTAAGACGAATTCTCACAAATATGTTAGTTTTGTAGCTTTGGGGTTTGACGTACAATTATCTAATTGGTCCAATATGCTGTAAATAATTAGAGAGATTGGTCAATTATCCTTATGACGTCGAAACCCACCCTTATTTGGACAGCGGGAACTTACCGGAGACATTTCCCACAAGATATCTGATATCAACCTAGAATTGAATGTTTACCACAATCTGTCACTCATTAACTCATTTTGATTTAAGTGCATATTAGACAATATGTTTGAATCTCACAACTTGCCAAAGACATTAATTAATAGAATATAATGTCATCATTTTCTTTATTCATTGTCTATAAATTTGAAAACAATGTCGCAACGACAATATTTCTAAACAATGCGATTATAAGTGGTATGTTATAAATTGTCTTTCTTTAAGTAAACACAAAAAAGTTAGAATAATAGCTATATTTTAATACAAATTTCCACTAGATTGTGAATAGCCCCGGTGTACTTATTTCGTCTACAGCTAATTTTACTTATATAACAGTTTACTTTGCAGCTTTTAGATAAATTACCTACAGATGAAAATAGTGTTATTTTAGAGGTGTAAATTCTCTCTTCGGATATAACAGACTTCGAATGATTCTTCAATTCTTTAATATACCGGAACATAAATATACATATATCGTCATTACGTACTGGCAGGCCAGTTACTGCACTAGTGACTGTCTTCAGTGTACAGATTTTGTAATATTCAAGGAAAATCAGAAAATAGGATAAAGGTAAATGTTGTAATTAAAACTGGCATGTCGATAGATGAACAATGCATAAAAGATTAAACAATATAATATATCAACAAAAACAATAGATGGGATTAACGTCGTTACCCAATGACGGCTTGAAAAGTGGTGACAGGTTAACGACTTACTAGGTAGTTGACCTTAAAATAGTTAATTTAAGAAGCATTAATTATATTAGCGATAACAGATTATCACACCATTATATTATTCGTGTATATAGACCCGTGTCATTCTCGGCATGGTATCAGGCCGCGATAAATTTCAAGAAATTTTGAACTCTTCACAGAAAAGTTAATATCAGTCTCTATGCAAATTACCCAGATGAAAATCATTATAGCAGTTAATTTAGTTTTGGAAGCCATTTTGACAGAACTAATGACAGAACTGCCAGAGGTGGCGGGAAGAAAGGTCAAGATTCATTTGGCGCATGCGCAATAATCCGTACTAAGAACGAATAGCGTTTACACTACGAAAATTTAACCGTGCTGTGTCTGGCACCGTGCGGAGAACACCTCACTTCAATGGGCCAAATTGGCACGACACGCTTATGCTTAACCCGTTTACACTACCAAAACATTATCCGTGCCGTGACTGGTAAATTTTGTATGTAAACGGGGTTTATGACAAAATAATTATAGATAAATATAAGCTTTCAATTTTAATAAAAAAAGAAATGAAATGAAAAAACTAACAAAACCCCAATACTCACCGATTTTAAAATTTCAGTTACTTTACCGTGTAAATTGGCAGATTGGGAAGAGATTTGTTTCTGTATGATTCAAGGATAATTGTGACCCAGGGGTTGTCACCATGGTTTAGTAACTCGGGGAGTAAATGTTGGTCTGGATTTTAGAAAATTACCAGTGGTTTGAATGTGTGTTCTATTTCTATAATTAGTAATACGTTTTTTTTATTCTAGGCCTTGGCCATTGCGTTTTCTAATGGTAAGTAATTCTAAATCGACAATAATCCATATCTTCAGCACGCCATTAATCTGTTCCTGTAATTTGTTTTTGGTAGATATCCTTTAACTGTCTTTTGTATCATTTAATCACGACAAAATGTATTGCTGACACCATACGTTGATAATTGGCGTTTATATGTGTGTTTGAGAAAACATTGATAAAAAAAGTACTTAAATTCATTAAACAATGCTTTATTATGTATTAAAATATTTGAACAGGTGTGGAAATCAGTCATTGGGGAACACATTTTGTGATGTCGTTTCTCGTCAATTTTGAATCAGACCAAGGGTTGAAAGTTGCAATTATTACAACAAGGGAGGCAACCGATGTAAGAGTATCTGTGCATGGTTATACCAAAACCTTTTCTCTGCCCGCTAACCATTCCCATAGAGAGGAAATAGACAAGGACACCACAGCCTATCCCTATGGTATGGTGTTAAGAAAGAAAGCCATACTGATAGAGTCATCAGCTGAGATTTCGGTTTATGGAATGAATATTAACCAATACACTACTGAGGGTTTCTTGACACTTCCTGTTCCATCTCTTGGAACGGAATACATAGTAGTTAATTATGAAAACAAGCGTGGGAATGATTTTGAAGGCGGTGAGTATACATCTGTAATCATTATTAATGATGATGCTATTTAAGGTTATTGCGTTGAAATAAATTGGGTCGGGCTTTTAGAGAGAGGTGGGGTTTTACGTCCACTCGACACATAGAGGGTCATTTCCATACTAACACATGGCGAAATTTATGTTAATAATTTGATTGGGCGAAGGAGTCTTTAGCAGTGGGAGGACACCGGAGGACCCCGAAAAACACACGAGATTCTACTCTTTGTCAAGTACAAGCTGGGAACCACGAAATAACGCCACGTGACTAAATTACAGGCCTTATGATGTATAGCGCACGCCTTAGACCATTCGACCACACCACCCTCCATAATAAAATCGATTACAAACCAGTTCGCATTCACATCTTGAATAAATATACGATTATCAATTATTTAAATTACAATTTGAAAGTAAAGTTTGTGATGTTTTGCAAGTATACCGGTAAATACACACCCTTCTCCCACAAATATAAAACCGTTTTTCCCATTTGTAATATTGCTAGCACTTGGTAACATAATAGAGTTACGGTTTTGAGTTTCCATAAATCGAGTCACACACCAATTTTAAATATATTCCCACATAGATATGCAAGGGTGCATTTCCACAGCACAGTCCAGCAGTGCTGTTTGGCCTTCTATCATTGAGGTTTTCGACAACCCTTTTACACCTCATGAATTGACTTCGCCTATAAAAGCTAACCGAATACCAAATCGTTATATTACAGGACAAATTGCCATCATATCAATTGAAGACGGGACATTGGTTACCTTGGAAATTAGTAAAACTGCCTGTTATACTGAATTTAACGATACCAACGTGGAATATACCTTCTTAATGGACACTTATGACGTTGTCAATTTTTATTGCAAAGAAAGTACCACTGGAGCGCTTATTACATCTAATAAACCCGTAGCGCTTTTGTCTGGAAACAAATGCTCTTTTATACAGAGTTCCTCCTGTGATCATATCGTAGAGATGCTTCCACCGACATCAGAATTTGGAAAACACCATGTACTAGCATTACCCGGTGGTTACCGATTTCCCAATGAATTGAAGGTTCTGGCATTGGAGGATTTTACAGATGTAACTGTTAATGGTTCGGCAGTATTTACACTGAACATTCGTGAATACAAAACTCTGGATTGGATTACCGCTGAAGACGAAATGTGTATTGATAGCAACAAACCAGTGTTGGCTGTTCTTTTTATGTCCAGCGGGAAAGCGCAATTCCAAGGTGACCCCTTAATGATGCTTATCCCACCAGTAAATAAATATACCAATGATTACGTATTGGATGCGGATGTCAGTTCCTTCTACATTGAGACCGTTTTGATAATGTCTTCTGCTACACGGGATTCGCTGATTTCCCATGACCCAAATTTTAAAAATACTTGTAACAATCAGTATGTGTACACCACTGGTGTATTAAATGAAACGACAAAGTTTTCCTCAGCCGAGCCATTGTTGGTGATAGTCTTTGGTTCCAAGACATTTGAAGGATTTGGGTATCCTGGTGGAATGCAGTTAACTGATTATTCCGGTAAATGGTGGTGTTGTATATGTGCTTTTTTGACCCCCACCCCACGATTATAATTCCTTATCTGCTCTTTCAGAGAGAGAAATAAAATGAAATGGGGTTTAACGCCCCACTGGTCATAATGGGGACGGACAGGTACTCTACGGATTTCTCTTATTTAGTGTTCCAACTATCAAGGGATATTTTACATGCTTGCCAATGTGTACACGCATGGGTTTTCCTGCTTGCCAGGCCCCCGTGCTGCACCACGATGGAAAATCCCGGCCGGTTAGTGAGCCACGTCTTACTCATTGCCTCAACGCGTCTTACTGGTATCTAAAACATTCGAGATAGGGCAGAGAGAGGTCATTTCGCGACTACACATTGTACAAATTTTTGCGAGTGCAGGTGGTCTGGAGCGGTGGGGATGGGGGTGGAAGGAGTAATTAGACAGAGTCCAACATCTTTTATATCAGCTGTAAGCAAGATTTAAAAAGCTTCTTTATCGTTTCTTTTTCTTCCATCTTCAATAGGAAATGAGGAATGTGCCACAAGACCTTGTCAGAATTATGGTTGGTGTTTAGAAGTAGGAATGTCATATAGATGTCGCTGTCTGCCAGAATATCTAGGTGTTAACTGCGAGATAGGTAGGTCTTGTGTCTTTGTGGTGACAGATCCGTCTTATTTTAAACGAGGCATTATATCACTTTCACTGACCTTCAAATGTTATTGTGATCAATATGATATTTAAAATAACTGATTCGTATAATTATTATATAAGTATGAAAACCTAAGCACTGATCGACCTAGTGTAAGGAATGTTGTAGGACTAGGACCCTTGTTAATTGTTTGTCTAAAGCTTTACATACAATCCATTTGGAACAACCCCAATCGACCCCCTAAATGCCAGGAATATAGATTTTTCCCATTAAAAGCCACGGCCAATATCTTTTAACACAGTATTTTATCGGTTTCATCTACTTTGGCGTTTTGGAGGCAAACAGAAATCACCGAGGAAAGTTAAATGGTTTTGATTAGTAATCACCCAATAATATATTCCATTATCCCGGTTGGTGCAGAAGTGTAGGACGTTAAAACCCTATTTCCTGCATTGATTATATTGCAATGTTTCCTTTGATGAACATTTTAATAGGTACTTGTATGGCATAAAACACACTCTTTCTTTCCACATCTTGTAGTGGACATAATGGGTATAGCATTAATACTTATTTGTGACGCAATATATATTTATGATTAAATAAGTGATTCCATGGTTTTCGAGTGACAAATGAAAGGATGTAGTCATTTAATTATTTATTTTATTTTCAGAAATAAATTTAACAAGAACAGGAGCCCCATCTACAACAACCAATGATTTAACCGAAGCCAGTTCATTGTATCAAACCGTTATAAATACCCAGATCGTGACAACAAAACGGATGTTTTCAGCGAACACAGACGTACCTGATTTAATATCAACCCAAACAATATTAAACCATACCGATAAGTCAACTGTTGCGCTAATTACGAACATCCCATCGACCTTCCGTCCCCTAGGTTACACAAAACCTATGTATAGGCCTAACCTTTTATGTTATTGCCCATGTAGTGTTCGGATTAAAACTTTTTCAGATTTAATTGAGCAAACTGTTAATCAACAGAACAAAGATAAACTTGAAAAGCGAAAGTTGTCCCAGGCAGTCAGAAGCAAACAAAGTGCCGAAAATATGCAATCATCGGAAATTCATTTGGGTTATTCGTCTAGTTTGCTTCTGATGACAGCCATACTATGCGTCATTTTGTTTGACATCTCTAGGGTAATCCAGTGGTGTTTGAAAACATTTAAAGGGAATAAATACCCAGTACATCCGTTTCAACAAGAGCTTCTCAAAACACGCATTTAGTGATTCTTTATATGGTACCCCCTCCAGCAGACTATGTTCTATATTTAGACCTCTATAAGAGGTAATTTCTATTGTATATACTCTCAAATGAGAATAAAATTTTAGCAACAGTCAGCCTTTCGTAAATATTTATCTTTCGAAATCTATTTCCTGGGTAACAAAACCTTTTTGCTTAACTCAACTTCTAAGGTTTAACATAAAAATCAAAATGGTATCAATGTTTCTTCTTACATGTTATTTTAAATGTAAAAAGTATTTACACTAGTGTATTAAAGTCATGCGATACGTTACAAATTTTGAACCAACCCCCTCCCCTGGCGCACATCAAAAAGATAGACTGTGACATTCATTGCCGTACGTGATTTGCCCAATTCATGTTTGTGTACTTCCTGATTCTTCCAAAGCCAGGCAGCAAATGTAGATTCAAACACTCTTTCTTCGATTCTAGACCAAATCCAAAAAGTCGTCAAATACATAACACACAATTTTTAAGTTTCGCGGCTGCAGTCAACTTGTTGGTATTAAAAATGGTCTTTGGGTCAAACCTGGGAAGAATAAAAAGAAAGTGTCACTGGCCCTACTCACTGGCTCCGACTGGGCTAATGAAGACGGACATTCGCCATACAGTGTGCTATGAGGGAAATTTTGCTCGGGCAGTGGCACTATGACCTACTCTTATATCGAATTCCAACTTCCACGGGATCTTACCTGCACGCCAATGTATGCACGGGACCTCCGTTTATCGCCCCATCCGAACGATTAGACAGCTGTACGTGTCAAGACCTCCGTCCTGCATCACTAACAAAGGAAATCCATGCCGGAAAATGCCTATGAACTTTCTCGGCTAACACCCGCGACCTCCAGACCATCGAGCCAGCGTCTTACTTACTTAGCCACCGCCCTCGCTCCCTCCCTCCCTACTCAAAGGCGAGCAACTTCATTTGCATAAATGGGAATAAACATAACAAAAGTAGCATTTCTGCTGAGAGATTTAGGAGAAAGGGTAGACATTTCTAAATCAGCTTTGCATCTCTTAGGCGTAAAACCTGCTTTTGAACAAATCTTAATAGTCACATCTAGCTAATTCCGTGCAAAGCCATCAATCTGTTTCGTGACGATGTAGATGACTTCCCGATCAATCTTTGCGGAGGAGATGCAAAAGACTTCGAGATTAGCGTCTAAAAGCTTCAGAATCGTGATAATGTTATATTTAAGACAACATTTGTTTGAGGTTATGATAATTCTGTTGCGGTTTCTTAAGATAGGCGCTCGCGATCATATCAGCTCACATTATCGTCTGCTGCAGTAAAATATAGTATGGTCTATTGAATTCAAGAATAACTTGATTATCACTTTCACCGACGTAAGTTCCAAATATATAGTTACGATCACTTTCATGTGACCGTATCACGTTGGACCTGACATTCAATTTGATAGGCACTTTCTGGCAGGGGTTTTCGGAAACATGCGGCTGCTATATAAACATTAGTGGAGGCGGTCAGTAGTAAAAATAGTGCGACTTAATTATGGGCTTTGATACACGATAGAACCAACCGTTTTGTTTTTACTAATGTTAACGTGGTGCAGTTAATAGCAAAAAATCAATTTGGTATTGACGAATGATACGCGAGTTGCTCTCCATGCGTCTACTTATCAGTAGTGTTATTGTTAATAGATTGCCAGGAGAGTGTCTTTGATTCTACTGCTATATTATTGTTTACATGGACACATCATTCCATACTGGAATACAGGTATAGTACTAGAATTTTTAACAATACTATTTATTTCAAAATACTATTTATATCTCATACAATTTTTTTTGTCAATCTGAAGAATTTCTGTAAGCTAATAATCTTTGCATTTTTAACTATAAAATGTATTTTTAAGCGATTCATTCTTAATATTACATTGGTGTTTTAAAATACTTTTCTGAAATTTGTACAGGTATCGAATAGCCTTGTAGTCGATGTTTGTCGGGGTTATTTTTGTTTTAGGGTGCATGTAAAAGTTTCCTAGACAGTCAGATTAACTGGTTCTATGTCCACTTTTCACTAAAAGTGAGATATTGGCATAAACACTATCTGTGAATCAATAGGTGTTATGCCGTGAGCATAATTTAATGCAGAAGCGCCCTCTAGGTTAAATTGCTAAAAAAAACCCACCTAGACCAATTTTTAAATTTAAGTTCATTCCCCCTCACAAAGTATTGTGTCCACTTTCACCAATATAATTGCTAAATCTGGTGCCATGTGGTCGTGTGACAAAATTGCCGAAAGAGACACCAACATTGCTGTATTTCCAGAGCAGAAAACTCGCCGTAAGGCCCTCGGAATATTGAACCAGAATGAAATTCTTGATCTATTAGAAAGGCATTGATTGTTAAGCAATTTAAGACAGCTTAATGTTTTGTTGAAACAGTATTTTTAATTTGTTTTAAAGGATCGTTTGAGATAGTACTAGTTAATTCGTTATGCATTGTCTGTTTTTAATTATAATGTACATTCATAGGAAATGGAAAGAAATGAGATTTAACGTCCTACTGTTCTGCTCCGACTGGGCGAATGAAGACTGCCCGCTAATTTATCTTAGTTGGGGGCCATGGCATTTTGGGCGTGTCTGTTAGGGGTAACCCACCGCACGAACTGTCTGGCAGTGGTCATTCATGATTTCTGTGGTGTTACTGAACAATGTTTTACACAAATGGAAAAATGGAAGGATTCTGAACCCATGACAATGAAATCCCTGGGCTAGAATTTTCCCAGTTTTGTAAGGGGGGGGGGGATTGCCGAATGCTTAGCACGTGCGCGCTGTATCATATGGTCTGTCATTTAGTCAACTGGCGTGGTTTCGATTCCCCGGTTGTACGTGACAATGAGTAGCGT